TGTGTGTGTGTGTGTGTGTGTGTGTGTGTGATGAGCAGTGCTTTCTACCTTCTGCCAGGACGGCGCAAACGGAAATCTGTCTCAAGCACCAGCGCACAAGGTTAAAATTAAAGAGGACAATTATGAGCGATTAGTCACTGGAGTGGGGCTCCATGGACGTCTTCAAAAATAGGATCGGCTCTCACTCACCGGGACCTGGCACAGAGGAGCGGGCAGAGAAGCCTCTTCTGGGCCTGGGACTCTGTGATTCACTCTCCTAAAGGAGCCGGCTGCTGAAGCTCGTTGGAAACAATGGCCCCATTTCTCAGGGGCTGTCTAGTGGGTCCTGAAGAAAATTCTCTGGCACCCAGAGATCATGAAATTAACACCAGAGCCTCTGGCTTGGGATCGCTCTCCTGGGCTGAGACCTCAGGAAGGGAACAGTCGCTCAACCTTTTTGTTCTAAAAACCCAGGAAGCCCGGGCGGCGGATGGTTTGGGTTTCAGCACCTCTGAATGCACCGTTTCAAATAGCCGCTCTTCCTAAATTTTCATTCATCCCGGGGTCCCAGGAGAAGCACCCTGAATGGACACAGAGGGGCAGGGAGGGCTTTAAAAGGCCTTGGGGATAAAGCGTTTGGGAGGGAGAGTCCAAGCTGGAGAGAAGGCCACGGCAAGGCTCACGTGCCAGGGCGGAAGGGGCCCTCCTGTCACCGAGCCTCCTCGGAATAAGAAGAACGACCTGAACAGGGGCCTTCCGGGCGTTTTGCATGAACCCCAGCCACAGACAGCCGGCCAGTGCGACTGAGCCTCTGCCAGCAGCGCTTCCAAAGGGAGAGGCCCAGAATGCCACAGCTTTGATGTGCTCAGTGGGTAAAATTCCTCTTTGTGGAACCTTCCTTGGCTTCCAACATTATGTCTACTAAAGACTGTGTTCGCAGCACGAAGGAGGCCGGCCCCCAGGCGGCCGCAAACCAGAGAGGCCCCCAGGCCCCCTTCCAAAGGTGGCTGGGATCCCCGGGACAGCCCCGCGCAGGTACCTGGCCCCGGGCCCCAGAGAACTTGGGCTTCTCCTCCAGCAGCAAAAAATATATTTATCTTGAGGGTTCCTGCCGAAAGAGGTATGAGTAGGAGGGAGCCAGAGAAAGGTCTGACTTAACGGCCACAGTAAAAGAAAAGGCGAGAGAGAACTGGAGAGAGGGAAAAAAAACCCCCGAGTGGGGTGGGGAGAGTGAAGGGGAGGGGCTTTGTTTTGTTTTGTTTTGTTTTGTTTTGTTTTTTGTTTCTGAGGCGGCTTCTCTTTTAGAGATCTAAAATCCACAAGTTTTACGTCAAAGCTTTCTCCAAATGACTTGATGGAGGGTTTTTTGTTGTTGGGTTGCTGCACTCCCAGGACTCATTGGGATGGCAGGATAAAAATTAATTAGAGGCTGTTTGGAGGGGGCTTTGCAACACAGCCTGAGGCTACGCTTCAGTCTGGTTGTTAGAAGCAATATCATCACCAGCTCCTGGCCCGGCGAACAGACCTGCGCCCGGGCGGCCGGGGGGAGCCACGGAACGTTCAAGGCAGACATCAGAGTCAAGATTCCCTCCCAGAGAGATTACTTACCACCAACCAGTGGATCTACCTGCTGACAACCTCAGAAATATGTCTTGTTTCATTTTCAGATTTTTAAGGGGGGCTGTGTAGGAAGCTTCGAGAATCCTGATGAAACAGCGCGCAGAGGAGATGCTGCCCCGGCCACGCCACTGGGCCGGGCGCTCGGGCCGGGCGGAGCCACCAGGCAGGCACAAGGAAGGCAGCGTCCTTCCCAGGCACGGATATGTCCCCTCTCAGGGGATGACAGACTGGGAAAGGGAGACTCTAGGAGTCGGCACGTTTCTTCATGGACCAAGGCCGACTGACAGTTATTTCAAATTCAGACAATTTACAGGAAAAAGAATCCAAGCCCTCTTCGCTCCTCGGGTCCTCTGTCTCCCTTCCCTCCCTGTGCCGCATGACCCCCCACTGCCTCCCCCCCCATCCATTAACCGTCCTCCACCTGAAGTGCTGGTTCAAGGACTGACCTTCAAGTTGGAATAATTGGGAACCAGCTCCTCCAATCCAGGTAAAATAGTGCAAAGTATGATTTCAATCCTGGCATCTCAGCAACCGCGGTGGTTTCCCCGGCTGTGGGTTTCACCCTGGAAACAGGGAACGCAAAGTGAGCACATGCCTGGGTCCCCTTCTTAAGAGTGCTTTTAACCACCGTGAAAGGGCCCATGCGCTTCACGTAGAGTTTATCTCCAGACCAGTGTGAAAATGTTAGCTAGTTAGTCCTTAAGACATTTTCTGTGATGCGGGCAACAATTAATATCCCTGTTTTATGGATGGAAAAACCGAGATTGTTCATATTCCCCACGTCCAGAAAAAGGCAATCTTAGGTGTGCGCTAAAGAAAACTTGGAAACTCCTAGAGCCCTTCCCTCTCCCTAAACTTAGCTGTGTCTATTTTATTGCCTATAATTGCTTCCTTGCGTCATGTTGAGGATGGGGGTAGGGTAAACCAATGGGAACAATTACCAAAAAAAGAAAAAAAAGAAAGAAAAAAAAGCTAGTTTTCCCCCATCCAGCCATTTCCAAAATGAATTCACCAGCTGCTAATATGAAATCGCACCACGGCACATGTCAGCAACTCCCCACTTTCAAAGGTGCAGTGCTTAAGGTGAGGCCAATTCCCTTGCTCTCCGAAAAGGAATGATCATGGCACTCACCACATCCTCAGAAGAAATGAGAAGATTCCTGCCTGGGAAGGCTTGCCTCCAAATCCAAATTCTTCCAGAGAGGATGTAAGACAGTGCTGAGTAAACTAACATCGCTTCCATGCCCCGACCCCTCGTTCTTATACATCAGAACCTGGCAGACAGAAAGGGTCCCCAATATGTGGAGACAGTAGTGTCTGGTTAGTGAGCTCAGTGGGGAGCCTAAGGCCACTCCTTGTCCATTTGTTCTCCGCCAAAGGGAAGTTAAAGGAGCTACGTGAGGACTGCTCTCAGAAACCAGGCACCGACTCAGGTGAGGGTCCAGGGGATACGGCTACATGAAGCCAAACCCTCTCCCATACGTGCTTTCAAAATTAACCAGCCTGCCTGAAAATCAATCTGCCACTTTATAAGCAGCCGGCATATTTAGAACCGTGGAAATTAAAGATGGAAAAGACCTATGAAGTCCTCTAGATCATTCCCCAGGGCCCCGTGCGGGCTTGTTCCCTGGAGCACGTTTGTAAGCACAATGTCAGGCCTCATTTCAAGTGTCTCGAGCAGTGAACATAAAGGAGGCAGAGGAAGAGGTGTCTGCCCAGCCCACTGAGCAGTGATCGTGGGAGGAGAGTTCTCTGAGCTGGCCTCTGGCATGCATGGAAAGGGTTTGGATCCCCCAGGGCTGGGCCCGGAAGAACCAGCAGCTTCTGGAAAGTAGAGCCATTTAGAGGACTTCACCTCTCTGTTTATGCAGAGCAACACGCTGCCTTCCAGAAGCATCCAGATACCTGCCCCACTGTAAACAGATTGCCATCGAGAAAGAAAAGAGAGTCCAGGTGCACCAAGACTCATTTTAAAACAAAGCAGACCCACCCAGCCGGTGTGGCTCAGCGGTTGAGAGTCGGCCTGCGAACCTGGAGGTCGCCGTCAGGGCACATGCCCAGGTTGCGAGCGGGCTCGATCCCCAGGAGGAGGCGTGCAGGAGGCGGCCGATCCATGATTCTCTCTCATCGCCGATGTCTCTCTCTCTCTCCCTCGCCCTTCCTCTCTCCGAAATCAATAAAATATATATATATATGTTAAAAAACCAAAAACAAACCCTCTCCCCAAGGAGTCCAGCCTCCTCTCGGTTTTATTCTGGGTTGATGAGCAGTCAACTAAACCGCGTTTCCAACGGGTGGCGAAACGGAGGAAACATTTCGGCGATGCCAGGGCTTTATTCTAGAACATTCAGGACCCAGTAATATGAACAGAAGGGCAGATGACTTCACAATAGGACAGTCAGGGGCTTTTCTGAGAAAACCATTTTTCCTTTTATCTCTGTTCCCAGCTGGAGAGGAAGCCAGTCGCACTCACAATTTCAGGTGGAAGCTCTGTGAAGGAGGGTAAACAAAGCCAGAGCTAATAGGATCCAGAGAACAAAGGGATCCAGACCTAGCGCAGGCAATGTTCTTTCGACTTCTCCGTTTTTGAAATGACGGAGACAGTCCCTTTAGACACTCATATTTAAAATTCCAAACCCGTGCGTGCAGGCCCTGCCATACGACACGGGCGAACCGAAAAGTGAGTCATTCATTCATGGGCCCCATGCAAAAACTACTACGACGACCATTTTCCTACGCCGAAGACCGTGAAAAAACGTTACCACTTCAGGTTTCCTGGAACAGGATCATCCAAAGAGGCTGCCTTACTCCATAGCTGCTCTAAAAGATGAGGCCCATTTTCTCTACCAGATGCTTTAAGCAAAACTGAACTTGTAAAAAGCCCTAAATTTAACCCACGGGCCGGCAGAACATACACTTCTCACGTCCCCCACCCCCGCCGCCCTTCTCCCCACAGCCCTTTTCTCTTTCCCTCTAAAACATTATCTCATCTCAGCATTGCAGCTTTTCCTAAGTTCAATGTCAATAGCTAGTTAGGAGAGGGCAGGAGGGTCAGAGCTTAGGACTCCAGACCGTCCTTGACGTCTCTCTGCAGACTGATCGGCTGTTTGCATCAGCCCAATAAAAAAAATAAAAATAAAAATCCCTCTTTACTATCTGAGAAAAGATCAGAACAGGAAAATGTCAGTTTGAGAGCTGACAGAATTCTGATAAGAATGAACTGGAAATGAGAGAAAAGAAAGGAAGAAATGCTGTCACTCTAAGAAGTTCTTAATTTAATGTTTTTAGACAAATATGCTTCCCGCTGCGTGTGTGTGTGTGTGTTCTTCGCACACAACCCTTCCATCCCTCCACCTCTCTTCCAAGCGCTTCTCTTGAGAGAGAAAAAGGCTGTCTATTTTGACTAGATTTGATTTGATTTTTACGGTCTTTCCACAACCTTTCAAAGATCTGCAAGGGTCAACCTTTCTGGCCTGAAAGCTGTGAGCGCATTCACTCCCACAGAATTTCTTCTAAGCCCTGGAATAGTTTCCACTTTCAGAAGTATCCATACATATTTTTAGAGTTAGAGAGATAATTTAAATTCTCAGGCTTAATTGAACCGACAGAAGGGAGAGTGGACTGCTACAGATGGAAACACTTTCCAAGTGTGACGACCTCTGAGTTCACATTTAATACCTACATAATAAAGGCTTGAAGATAATAGAATGGGCATTGTTTCTGCTGCCCTATTTTTTTAAACTAGTATAGCAACTTTATTATTAAAAAGGATATGGCTGGTGTTTTTAAATACAGGCTACAACAAAACATCAAGAAGTGACCCCCATTAAAAGATATATTTTTCATGAAGAAAAGGCCGAGTCTTTGACAAATAAAACACTCCGCAGGAGTTAAGTATTCCTCTGAATGAAAAAAAAAAACAAAAACCAAAACAAACACAACCTTTTCCCAGAAACTAGGGAATTGCCTAGTTCACCAACAAAGCATTTGCTGAGCACCTACTCCATGCCTGGCACGCTCGTGGGCATGTTGTATGATCTCAGTTAATTCTGTAATAACTCCATGAGGTAGATATTATTATTTACACTTGTTTGTTGAGCAGAATGAGACTAAGAGAGGGTAGGTCTTCCCAAGGTCACACAGAAATGATGGAACAGGCCCAAGGTGCACACCTGGCGGGGTCACTAAGCATCCTGTGTATAAAGAACATGTCCTGTACTTAATGACTTTTGTCCTGAATCTTTATTCATTTTGTCCGGGCACCTTAAGTTTCCTGTACTCAGCTATTTTTAATAAGTTATGAAAGTTCATTAGAGCCATTTTTTAAATTTAACTAGGCATTCTGTATTTTTATTTGCTAAATCTGGCAACTCTCCCATCTGGGTCTCATGATCCCAAATCCAGAGGTTCCCCCCCCCCACACACACAAAAGGAATGGGTTTTTCTGGGCATTGGATGAAACAAGCAATGTATACACTAAGTTCAGTCCATAGCAGCGAAGAGTGTAGACTCCTGAGTCGTCTAGACTGGGGTTCAAATCCTTGCTCTACCACTGGCAAGCTGTGTGACCTTGGCCAAGTTTCTCAGCCTCCCTGAGCCCCAAGTTGCCTGTCTGTAAAATGGGGTCAAGAGTAGTAGTGCCTACTTCGTGCGGAGGTTGTGTGGAGGGAGACTTAAAAAGTGAACGCATGTAATAAAATAATTAACGCAGTTCCTGGCACAGAGTAGGTGTTTGGGAAACATTAGTTATTTCCTGTGTCTTCAAAATCATTCTGTGGCCCTTCCGAGGCATAGCTCTGCTCGGGTCATCCCCTTGCTTTAAAACATCTACTGCTTCCCAGTGACAGCGCAGATTCCTTAGCTTTGGGTGTCTTATACGTACCGGCCCCGCCAGACTTGCCAGCCGTGTTTCCTATTTCCACACGTAGGAGATGGTCCATCAGTGTTTGCCAGGATCGCTTGGTGAATCTGTGGGTTTGATGAGGGGAACAATGACATTTTCAGTAAGTGTGAATTATTTTCCTGCCTGATAGGATTCCGCTGGTATTGAATCTTTGGGCCTCCGCCTCCCCCTTATAGGTAGATTTCAGTTTTTAACCAAAGATGCCGGATAACGTGGAGCTCTAGGACCCCTCCAAGCAAGGACTCCACCCTGGAGTGGCCCGAATGCTAGAGAAAGTGTCAGTAGGACGACCTTTCCCAGGGAAAGAATCTGGGTTTTGACCCTCCAGGCTCACCACGGGCCTCGCCTTCTGACCAAGCCCCCCGGCCATAAATGCCCACTTGGGGCGTTAGCGCCTCACCTCCAGGCTTAGAAGTAGCCAGGCCATAAACACCAAGGAGGAATTTTACTGGCCCATCCTCAACTCGCTATTTTATTGTCTGGCATTTCCGCTACCTTGTCTTGAAACGGACAGAAATATCTCCTATAAAAACGCACGTACGGTTTTCTGGGCTTGGATCCACGCTGTGCGCAGAGGCTGCCCACGTAGCCGCGTTGTCTCCTCTCGCCCTGCGGTTCTGCCCTTGGAAGCCCTGTGTCCTCGTAACTGAAACGGGAGGGTGTCGGCCACCAGCTGCCCGCCGGGGCGCGACCTGGGACCCTGTGGTGGCACCAGTGCGCACGAGGGGGCACAAACATCAGGACCCCAGGAGGGGGACTTGGGGGAGACGGCTAGGGCAGAAGGGAGAGCGGGAAACAAACCCCCAAGAGGCGACATTCCCCTCTGGAGAGAAAAAGCACTAGGCCACAGGCTGGCCTTCGTAAAAAGCGAGGAGACAAAGCAGGCCTCTGAGTTACAGACACATGACCTGCCTCCCCGAGGCCCTGCTCCTTACACATTCATGCGCTGGCATAGGTTCTAAATTGCTGCCAGTTTCACAACTGGTTTTAATTTAAAGGCCTCCAGGCCACGCTATTCCAGGGCAGAGGGAGATTTTTTTTTTTTTTCCCCAGCGAGCAGAGCGCAGGAACGGGATCAGGGCGCCCCCACGGTTTGCAGCCTCGCCTTCGCCTTCTCGGCTCACGAAATCGTGGTTAATGCCTCCCCGTCTCACCCCAGGCCCGTGCGCCCCTTCGGGGACAGGCGCACACGCCGGAAACCAGGGGAGGCTCCAAGGGGCAGAGCAGTCACGCGCAGCAGCTGTGAACATAACTTGCTTTAAGAAAAAATAAATATATATGTATTAAAAAAAGGGATGTCTCAGAGTTTCCCAGAACTCAAGACAGTGTGTGACGTCGGAGCCACGACCTCCACCGTCTCCGAGGCCCCTCGTGGAGAGAGGGGCTCAGGGGACACCCCCGGACAAGGAGTTCACCCAGGCAGAGAATACTCGACAGCTCCCTTCAGAGAGGAAAAAACAAACAAAGGAGCACTCACCTGGCTTTTACAGCAACCTAGTTGCGAAAGAGCGGGAGAGCGAGCCAGGATAATTAATTATACAGGCTTTTCGTTACTCACTGCTCCCTTTCAAAGGTACAGCATAAACTTCTAGCCGGAATCTTCACCTCCGCTTCCTCCCGGCTCCGAGGAAAAGGCCGGAAGCATCGGGGCCTTGTCCAACCTGTTCTGCAGCTTTGTGCCATTTAGGAAAAAGGCTCTCCCTCTGGGGAGGGGGAGGTAGTTAGAAAAAGTTCCCCCAGTGGGCAGACAGACAAAAAAGCCTGTGGGCCGCATGCTTGAATGACTGGCTTCTCCTGCAAAGAAAGAAAAAGTGACTTGTTCCTCCAGGTGGACTCCACCCCGCGTCCGCGCACTTTGGCAGGCAGCACATGAGCTCGTTCCGGCTGGGCACCTGCACGAATTCCCCAAAAACGCCCGGCCATGATCGTCTCCCTCCTCCGGATCATCAAAGCCGATTTACCCCGGAATACTTTTGCCCAATTCCCTCTGAATGAACGAATGTTCATCGCCGAGGGCACAAAAGGAAAGGAATGGAACTTGGGTTCCGAGGGCAAAATGTAAGCCTGAGACCGCTTTGTAAATAATGGAGCCAGTGGTGATGTTCGACAGCCCCATGTAGGCTCCCCCGAGGTGGTGGTCTCACTCCCACAGGCAGACCTAGCACAAAGGAGGGCTCTGGAAAGTAGACTGCAGCGTTGCTTCAAAGACCTCCTTGTACAAGTCACTCCCAAGCTCCCAAAGGCACCTCTCTTACTCCAGAAGCAGCCCACGTAAAGAAGCAGAATGACATTGACCCTGAGACACACCCGGAGAGACCAGGATGGCAGAGCCGAGCTTTGGCGCCCCCCGGGAGCATCAACACGGGCAGGCCAGACATGACCGACAAAGTGGGTTGGCACAGAAGGCTTACTGGCACCCGTTACCAGCCTCCAACCTCTTGGAGAGTGATCGTGCCCACTCACGTCTCCTCTTGTCCTGCCTTCAGCACCTGCGACCTCAGGACCGCCACTGGCAGGCAGTGCATGCCGACCAGGTGTTCTGGATCCTTCTAGTAAGTCTAGACCAGACATGAGAGTAAAAGCTAAATAAATAAATAAGAAATAGCAAGATCCCTCATGAATGGATCTGAGTCCCGAGTCTCTTCCCAACATGGCTTTAAATTTCCCCTGCAACTATTTGGATCTGTGCACAGCAAGTCTGATTTCATGGAGCAACTTGCTCTCTCGGTGACCCCTGGGTCCAAGAGTTGGCTAGAAACAAAAATGACCGGCCAAAGCCTGGATGGATTCAGCTGGGCTCAGTCCCCGAAGGCTTTGTTCTCCAATCTGTTTATACAGTTTTTCCCGTAGGAGTCTGTAATTTTAATCAGTAAATATCTCCCTTGATTTATCACCTTCTATTGACATAGTGGTAATTCAAGCAGTGGAACTAAAGCTGGGCCTGCTGTGTGTTTTTCCCCCTCATTGTGCCCGGCCTCTGTTTGATTTTTTTCTCTCAGTCCTCTTAGGTAATTGGTCCGCCTCTGACACTCCGTCTATGACCAGCTGTGGTCAGGGGTCAGTGGGCTCCCCCTTCCGAAGAGCAGAGTGTTCTAACCAATCACAGTGCAGCCCCATCTAGAGTTTGCTAAAAACCAGAGCAGACAAACCACAGACTGATAGGACCCAGTGGATTTCATTTTAAAAGTAGAAATCCAAGATGCTTATAAAGAACACTGCTATTCTCTCTAGCCCCAGAGACAGTTTGGAGACTTAATCCGCTGATTTAGTATCTCCCAGTTGAGCAGGGAGATCTTCCTTCTCAAACCTTCTGGAGCTGCCAATTTCCACATTAGCAGATTGATCCTTCTGTAAACATGGGGTTGAATAAGGCCTGGTACTCGGTTCTACTTTTTATTAATGCATTTATTTATTTAGTATTCATACCAGTAAATTGGTTTTAAAAAATTCTGTGGGCACACAGTATCCTGATTTCAGTATCACATCTGACTGAAGATGATTTCCTTGATGGCCAAGATAAAGAAATGAGCCAGAGCCAGGTGGAAGCAAAGGTGTCTTGATGTGCTCTCAGGTTCTGGGCTAAGCCACTTGTGTTTGCAGGTGGGAACTGAAAGGAAAGGCTCGATGTTGAGGACGGGGGTCTGGATTCCCAAAAGATCTCAATGAACTGAAATGCTGGGCTGAAAATTAAAAGGATAAGATCAATGTGAAGCTCTGAACTTTGGTTCCAAAAATCAATTCATTGCCAAGGCACCAAACAAGGGAAGTCTATTTAAATGCGTTTTGTGAGACTATCTTGGAAGCTTAGGTGTCCACAAGCTCAGTAGGTGCTAACCGTGTGACTCATGGCTGCCAAAAATACTAATGAAATCTTAGGTTGTGTTGGTATGAGCGTGGTTCCCTCCAGTCATCTCACTAGACTTGACTCTCATTGAAGTTTTCAGTCTTCTTACCCCCTAAATAACTAGAACAGCGCCTCATTATCACAGAAGCTTATTTCAGTGTCACCTGTGGAGTGGGGGGGGATGGAGGGAGGGATGGCGAGGTAAATGGATGGATCACAAGGGAAGGAGCCGCCGACATTGTCCTGTTTTCGATGCCATGTGTGTGTGAGGATGGACTAAAGTGGAACATGTCGAGAGATGAATGCCCAGATAGTGAAGGGCTGGGGAATCGTGCCCTGGGTGAAAGAGTTGAAGAAATTGGGGTATTTACTCTAAAGTAGGGGAAGGGAAAGGAATCCCTGGGGGAAGGGGTACTGGGAAAAGGGAGGAAAATGTCATTCAGATTCCGAATTGTGAAGGGAGGTGTGTGCCAGAGGGATCAAAAAAATTTAGATTGCTCCAGAGGGTAAAGCTCGGACCCCGTGGTGGGGGCTACAGATAGACGAAGCCTCTGCCAGCGAGAAGGGCTCCCTGCTGCCCGCGGGAAGCGGCCCGGTTCTCCTGCTGGGCCTTTCTCTTTCTTCTGGACAGGCGGCCCCCCTCCAGAGCAGCTCCTCCGCGGCTGATGGTCACCGCTGATGGTCAGCCTTCCTTTCTCGGGGCTCTCTTCAATAGTGCCTCCATTAAATTTAGTTATAGCTGTTTATTCCTCGAGCACAAGGCCCGTGCCTTTCGCATTTTTTATACATAGTAGACACTCAGTCCACATTCATTTTGTCAAGTTAAATAGAACTTGGCTGCCTCTGTGATTCAAGGCTAATACCAGAAACATCCATTTGGCCTGGCCTGAGACGTGGGGAAACACAGCAGCTCTGGAATGGCGATATGGCAGTGCTCGCTCTCCTTCGAGTTTCTGTACTTGGGGGGGAAGATGTCATCTGTGAACCCATTCTTTCCTTCTTCAAAGTAAGAGTACCTGTATTCTTGAGGTTTGCAGCACTGTATACGTGATGTCTCATATTCTCTCAAATAAAGGTAATCTCTAAACTTAAGGTGCAGGTAAGATGATATATATTGTATTAAAGAAACATTTCTCCCTGCCCTTTTCCCTCAGCATTCCCTTTCGTCCCCCAGGTTCCCTCTAGGAAATTCATTTGTAATAAAGCCCATTTATCAGCTACCCATCCAAACATGTATGA